GCGAAGTTGAAGCGGCAAAGAAAGAGTACATATTGTTCAAATTTCCACAGAAGAACTGGATGCATTAGCACTAACTAAATTGAGGAGGTGAGCAGTACACGGTGCAAAATATGATAGCTCGTTCTGGTGAAGTAATCTGGACCGAATTACTTTATACCTCCCGGTCGTGTTTGCCCCATTGACGTAGGATTGACCTCTATAATTCTCAGTAGCCCAGTGTACCTTTAGCGCGCATCGCGTTAAGGTCACGCTGTTTTCAAGTCTCCAACACCGATGCCAATCTCTCAGGTTATTAATCTATTATTATATATTCCACGCCTGCTTATAGTAGGCAAAATACGTAGGTATTATACAAACTTTGCAAATAATTTGCTCTAAGCAAGTGCAAAAAATCAATGCTTTAACAATACCACGTTTATGAAAGCAAAATTAGCAAGTTTTTTCGTCTCTACAGGTCATAGATCACTGCGTATTTTACCTTATGTTGCACCATAAATGGTGAAATGAATGGCAAAAAATCGTAACATGTAATTTGTCGTTAAAAAGACAACCAAATGCCATGATGACAGCAAAATTCTTCTGTTGGTTATTGCAGAGTAAATCATGAAGAAAAAACCAGGAAAAAACATCATCATTTACCATGGAATCACTAACAGGAGAATTTTACTATCATCATAGCATTTCGTTATCTTTTTAAAGACGAATCTTATGCTATGATTTTTCTGACGGATCGAATGGGACACTTAATTTGTTTTTAAATTTGGATTTTTTAAATTTAGACCTTTCTGCGGTGATGCCGCTTTCGTAAAGGTGGCGTTATGCGCCTTTCTCCCTTATTTACCTTTATTTTTGTGAATCCTCTAAAACTACCTCTGATTCAAATGTGTACCCGTTCAGCTAGCCAGTGCCCTTGGTTTTTGACCTTGTACACAGGCTCTCCGCACTAGGGTTTTGTGTCTGCCGGATGACAGACTGTCGATTTGGCAAACGGTGTTTACTTATCTCGCCAGCCAACCACACGAAGGGTCTGGTCACCAATCCCGTATCTAGCGGTACATGGCCTCAGTACTCAGGAATCACGGTTTCTTCATCTGGGGTTCCTTAATGGGGAAAAAAATTCTGTTCACTTTTGGATTAGGTACCTAAAATTCAGAACTAAATAGATTAAATGGTGTGAAGTAGTAGTGGTTAACGTAGAAAGTGAGGGATGCATTCCCACCTGTATAGACACCTCACATGGTTCTTGTATCTATAAGTTTCCTATTTTATTAATTAACCTATTCTAACTACTTCACTTGCCAGGTCCAGTGCAATGCCAACCCTTAGAGTGTCATTTCCTACTACGTGACTACCTTTTCATGTTTCACTCTTCAGATTGATACCCAAATAGTTGGTGTCAAGATCTTTAGACTTTTATTAGGATGACTTCTTAGAAGGTTGAAGATTCCGTACGCTGATTCGGTCATTTTATCTAGGATTCTTTACTCTTTTATTTCTCTGTATAGGAACCTTTCGGACACGTATGTGGAAATGTTCACAAGCGTCTCTAATAATGTGGTTATATGCTACTTAAATCTTGTTTCTGTTGGTTTTACAGCTTTATCTACAAGTTACTGATCCATATATTATGGGAGATATGATAATGTTTTTTTCTATTCTTAACTTTGTTTTCAGGTTTAACGTGCTATTTATTCCAATAAGAATTTAACGTGCTTCTTAATATCTTGCTCTTACTGAAACCGCTGTTGACATAGATGGTGTGTATCTCATTCTTTTTTCCATTAACACTCCTATATATTTTGCTCGTTTCCGAATCTTGTCCCCAGTTTTTGGATTTATTGTTCAACGTCCACGCCTCTACGCCACACAACAACACTAAGACAACATAACAGCATCCGTAATTTTAATTATTTTGTTTAATTAATAATTTAATTTGTGTTATGTTGTTAAAATTAATTTTAGCTCTATCTAGTATTATTCATATTTCTCGTTTGAATTCATTCGAGTCTAACCTTGAATTCCTTCATTTGCTTTCAGCCAGTTGTAGTTTTTGGTATAAATTATTACGTTCTTTGTAAATATGATATTCGTAATATCAATTTAAATGTTAACAGGGAAATATATTTTTTTAATAATTCGAAACAAATACTAACGAGTTAAATCGGTACATCTAAGAAATAAGAATAATGATCTTTTAGTGAATCCAACCAATATTTAAATATTATATGAGTCCTTAGGTCTATTAAAGTTTTTTTGGAATGTTAGATGCAATACTACAGGAGAAAAGATGTCAATATCGTTTGGTAGTTTTCATAAGGGGACTGTTTAGATTTGTTGCTATTGTTATGCCACAGATAATGGTCATATGTTTTATTGAAATCGGAATAATAAAATATATTAAACTCGTTTTCATCGTTCTTGGCGTGTGCCTGAAATAAGCTACTACGGAATTTTTAATATTCGTCTCTCTCTGATACACAGATGCGTAATTCAATTGTGCGAGTCACGTTCGTCATGGTAAAGTGCGATGAGAAGGGAATGAAGAGACCACTCACGTCTCTCAGTATTGTAGCAATAACACCGATGCGTTTGGCGATACGGCGTCGGTGATAAGTTCGGCCTCTTTACGAATGCAGATAGCTGGCAGTGACGTGTTTTTTTTAACGTGTTAACCTGATCTGTGCAGGTTTGAAGTTGCTGATGAAATAGTTTTTATAAGTAAACAGTTTTTAATTAATTAATAGTTTGAGCTCTTACTGTGTGGAATTCCATTACATAAAAGGATACTCTCGACACCTTAAAAATTCCAGTTTATTATAAATTAACTCTCTCTCTCTTCCGATACCCATTGCAATAATGACTTGTGGCATTGTTCTTGAATGAACTGGCTAATAGGTTTATAATTGTAGCAATTACCATTGATATTTTATGTTGTTTTTGTCGATTTTATTCAGTCATTGTTGGAATTTGTTCCGAACAGTTTTACTTATTATTTTTTGTTGTGAATAACTAATTTTTATATTTAATAAAAAAATGCCGGGAAAAACGATAACAGGAGAAATACGACAATGTGTAGTTCATTTATTGGAGTATTTTAAAAAAGAAAACAACCGACCTTTGCTTTCGTTATCATCGGTACATGAACGAGTAGCGGACGCTTTGAAAATCAGTCTTGGCATAGTGACAAGAATAAAGAGTGAATACAAGACAGGAGCAGCTCTTACTACACCAGGAGAGTCACGTAATGTACAAAAAAAAACTTATGATGTCAGCGATACTATAAAAGGAGAGATTAGAAATGTACTGTATGGCATGGTTACAATTAAAGTTCTTAATACACAATTAAGAAACAAGCATCTCTATAACGGTTCTGATACAAGTTTGTGGCGTCTTATGAAAAATTGTGGATTTTCATACAAACTAGAAAATAGTAGACGAGTGCTATGTGAGAAACCATGTATTGTCTCCAAACGACTGTATTTTTTGAGGCATTATATGAGAAATTTTTTAAGTCCAAGCCCACTTCAGTTCGTTTTTTTAGATGAAACATGGATATTCCTAAAAGGGGCATATAAACATACTTGGCAAGATGACTGTGTGAAAAGCATCAGAAAAGGACACGAAAATACAGGTAAACTTTTTGTTGTTTTACATGCCGGAAGTAGGCAAGGGTTTGTTAAAGATGCTGGATTACTGTTTTCTACGAAATCGAAGAGTGCAGACTACCATGATTCTATGGATAAAGAGTCTTTTAAAAAGTAGGTCTCCGAAAAGCTGATACCAATGTTGGAGGAACCATCTTTAATTATTATGGATAATGCCTCATACCATAGCTCTTTAATAGAAAAGTTACCGAATGCCAGTTGGAAAAAATCGGACTTACAAGAATGGTTACGAGCGAAAAAAATAATTTTTGACCACGATTCGGTCAAGATAGAGCTATTGGGTCTTTGTCGCCAGAATAAACCACAAAATACCAGGTACGTTATAGACGAGCTACTCCAAGAACATGGGCATACTCCATCAACATGGGTTTTGAGATTGCCTCCATATCACTGTCAATATAATCCGATTGAGTTGGTCTGGGGCATTTCTCAACAATACTGTGATCGTCATATTGGAGAACATGACCGTGGAGATGAAACAGTGAAAAAAGTTTGGGGCGATGCATTAGCTGAGGCAACACCTGCAGTGTGGGCGAGTTGTGTTAACCATACTGAAAAATTAATTCAGGACGACTGGGAAAAAATGGTCACATATAATGAAAATGAAAGTAGGATTATCATCGATTTGGCGGAAGATTCCAATGATAAAGACAGTTCCAGTGAAGACGCTGACTGATAAACTAATTAATCAAGGTCAGTACGTTGTAACAGTTCAGAATTCGCTACAGTGCTTAAAACTTAAAAAATCTGTATCATTTTTTAATTAAAGTGGGTTAAATAATTAACACTTTTTTGGTTATATTTCAAAATCATTTTAAAATGTACTTTTCCTTATATCCTGTCCTATTGTACTGCAAGCTAGAAAAATACTTCTTCGCAATTTATACGTATATTCCGTTATTAGAAATTTGATGAAAAATAATTTATAATTTTCTTTTATAACTATTATTTCTGGAGGCTCCGCCACTGGAGGAGGTAAACGAATCGACCTTAGACAAGGAAAGACAGACGAAACAACTTACTGCAAGTGTTTTTACACGCACACACCAAGAACGATGAAAACGATTATAGTAGAATATGTTCTGCTTATCTTAGTATTTATCTTGTTTCCTTTGGAAGCCTTGCCTTGAATAAACGTTTAACAAAAGTTGTGGCAAGACCTACTGCTTCCACCAGAAAACAAGATTTCTAAAAAAGTTTATTTTATTATGTGAAGATTTGTTTTTTGTTTGTTCTTTTTAGCATTTCTGCATTTGTTTAAAATGTTATTTATTCTTTAAATTTCATGATCAAACCAAGTCAACTTTTTAGCTGCATTTATATTTTTTTTTTCAGAAGACTTTTGTGATTACCAAGAAAATAACCAAAACCATACCAATCTTCCTACATCAATAACATTAGAACTATTGCCACCCATCAAACAAGAATCTGTGATAATTTCAACCGAATCTGCAAGAGAGTCGCTCCAAGAATCAGAATCAACAGAGGACAAATTCGAGTCTTCAGAAACAGAACTGGTCGCTGGAGTTCATTTTCTTTCAGATGACAATAATCTCAGTATCAGTTTAGATCCCATGGATCCAGATAGTTATGAAAAAAAGAAAAACGAATTTTTGGAATACGTCGTTCAGGAAGATGGAAGCGTTGTTTGTAAACGTTGTGGTGAAGTTTTGGCATCCCGCACCCACTGGTATAGGCATAAATATAAAGTTCATATGGTACAAGCAAATAATAAATTAGTTAGTCCTGCTCCTCTCCTCATGTGTCATCATTGTAAAGTATATTTTAAAAGTCGAAAAGGATATAGAGGACATATTGCTGCAAGGTACGTTATCCTTATTATGTTTTTTTTTTAATTTTCGATTTACTGCAATTTACCGGTATATTTGTTATTTCTGTGTAAAACGAACCAATATTTCAATAACTACATCACAAACATATACCCTACTTCGTTTCCTACTAGGAAAGCTAGATCGACAAGAGTATAAAATACTCTTAAGCGGATAAATACTTTTAAGAGGCACTTAAAAGCAGTATTAATCTCAATGAGGAGATCATACATTGTGAGATCCCAAGATCGAACAATCTCATATCCTTGAGACAAAAATTCTGCTTAAGATCTTGCCAAAGTGGACAACATTATACAAAATACCCTCAGAGAGCCATTATCTGCCCGAATTGTAGACAAAATCACAAATCTCACGAATGTTCTAAGACAAATTCATCCTGCTGTCTAAACTGTAATGGCAAACTACACATACACAGACATAACCAATTACTACTTTCAAATACAATCCTTCATACGAACTCACCTCAGACATGACCTCGATTATTCACTTTATTCGATGATACTTTTTAAGGTCGTTTCTGAAAAAAAAAGGAACGACGTCGCCCGATTCTGCAACGAGATCTCCCAAAATATGTAGGGACACGCTATTTTGTACAACTTATCTATAGACCAAAGATTTATACAAACATGATCTTTTTCCCTTAAGATTTATCACTTCCATTACTCATAACTATAGAATTTCTTTTGTTAAAGTCTAATTTTGGGCAATAAACATCTATACTTGAATTAACAGTAATGATTGTCGCACCACCAAAAAACTACCCGTTTTTAGAGGTTTGCGCAGTTACTTAAAAATTATATGGATATTACAAAGTTGCAATATCAACAACAACATGACATTAATTGCCTACTTCATAGTCTCTTATTTCTTCTTTTTCGTGGCCCAACACCACTACGCCTTTCATCCAACAAATTGTTCCAGGTAAAGGCAATCTCTGACATACTCCCACCTGAGGAATATTCTGATAAAGTAAAATATTGCTCACAAAATCTAAAAGAGACATGCTACAACACCATTATACAAAAATTAAAAATTGCTAATAAGTATACAGTTTCTGACAATCACTACTCCAAAAAACGTTTAGGCACTTTAGAAGCCCGTCCCGTACGTGTGATTTTCACTTCAGAAATCTTTGCACTATTTGTCGGAATACTGACTTTAAACACTCCTGCACCCTCAATGTATTCGTCTTCGGAACTGGAGTCTCTCGCAGCCAATTCAGGAACATGTGGGTACCATGTAATTCACCGTTATCCGTCTTCACATCATTCCGAAGCTCGAACTCAGGAACAATACAACACTCTAGTGGATAAAACCCGTTGGACAGGTCTCAATAAATATCCCTTAACTGTCTTAACTTTGCACAGTCGAACACTTCCATCTTTACCAGGAAAAAGTTCAACAACTCGTTCCATAGGCCAATCTAAACATTTACTGGTATCGTTGCCAACAAGCACAATTTCATTAAGAGCGATCGGGCGGTGAGTTTTATTCGCGCAGACCAGTTTTAACTGTCCAAGATATTCCGAACAGAATCGCTTACGAAGTTCCTCTCGCAAAGTCTGAACCCGACGCACTTTCCGACACAATGAAGCATTTTCTATAGCATCACAATCTGGTAGCTGGCAGTCCATCTGATCCCGCAAAAACATCGCTGATGTCAAGGCAACTAACTCTTGAGGATCCTCCGACAGATACCTTAATGGTCGCGAATTAATTATTGCCTCACACTCACATAACAACGTTAGCAATGTCTTATAGTCCAAACTAGCACGACCTAGTGTTTTTATCAACAACTGTTTCATAACATCAATGAAGCGCTCCCAGAATCCTCCCCACCAAGCTGCGGTAGGTGGATTAAAATACCAACGAATACGTTGCACAGACATCTCACGAGTAATACTGTCCCAGTCCAGACATGATAAGGCATTTTCAGCACCCACAAAACTCGTACCGTTATCACTATAAATCGTTTTCGGCCTACCACGACGAGACACGAACCTACGTAAGGCCTGAAGAAAATTAGAAGTTGATAACGAACAACAGAGTTCTAGATGAACCGCCCTGAAAATCGCACACGTGAACATACAAATCCAAACTTTTTCACCGGCCTTAAGGAACAGCGGTCCCGCAAAGTCAATACCGGTCACTTCAAAAGCTACAACGTCACGCACTCTGTTAGCCGATAAAGGAGGAGTATGAACTCCTAGATGTTTTCCAGTGTACCTTTGGCACAATACACACTTGGGGATAACTTCCTCAGAGAACCCAAAACTTTTCTCGGGGCAAACTTAAAGTACCTTGGGCCCCAACATGACAAAACTTCAAGTGATAATACCTAATTAACTTATTGGTGACCTTATGTTTAGATGGCAGTACGACTGGAAAACGGTAATACTGTGTATCTTCTCTGTTACAAACTCTATCTTAATCTAATCAAACCCCCTTCTTCATAAATGGGTCGAAATGATTGAGAAGCTTTCGTGCTGCACTTTTATCAAAATAAATTTTTCTGCTGCCTCAAACTCTTCAGAGGTTAACTCACCTTTATACTTCTGGTCACTTTCTGACAATTTTTTTACAAAACGTTAATTCCAATCCACTATTCGTACCATCTTAGTATATAGTGAAAAGTAGCTAAAATGCCAGTCACACGAATTATAAACATTAACAAGAGATGTCACCAAAGTCGTCCTACGCTCTGCGTTAACTTCTTCATCACAAGTAGCCGCACTAGATAGCCACTTATCACGGTTTTCATATAATCACTTTGGCCCCTTCCACCATCTTGACTGAAACAAATGTCTAGAAGTGCACCCTCGTGATGGCAAGCCTGCAGGATTGACCACTCCTGGTAGGTGACGCCAGTTTTCCATTGAAGTTAAGCTACGAATTTCTTTAACTCTGTTTCATACAAAAACTCCTGATTCTTCTTGGCGTTGTATCCAGGAAATAATAGTGCTTGAGTCACTCCAAAAAAAGGGTTCTATATTTCCGGGCAAATTCTCTGCAACTTGGACATACAAACGGGCACCTGTAGTTGCAGTTAGCAGCTCCAGATGCGGAATAGTCATTTTCAAGGTAGATTTATTAATTGGAGCCAATCTAGCTCTTGGGGCCAATAGAGATACAAATACTTTACCAGAATAACTCACTCGCAAAAAGATAGCATAAAACTACATTTGTACCCATCGAGGCAATTCAATCTTCTCAAGATAAGGTAAATCTTTCAACCAAATTTTAAACTCTTCAAAGATGACTTCATCCAGTGGTTCGTTCCATGCCAAGCTCTTCTCCCACAACTTTTGTAACATAAATTTGGATACTAATAGAGCTGTACATAAATATCCAATAGAATCAAACACTTTCTGTGTTTGATTCTATTGGATTCTACGTTTAGTCACTACCATATTTTCCTTAGTCAGTATCCTCTCTTAAGAATTTCAAATTAGCTATCAAAACATTTCGTACAGGATGCCAGATCTGTAGGCTCTTTAATACCAATTGCTTCCAACTCCCAAAGCTCACGTAAGGAAGCATCCTTTATGAGAAGATTCAATGTGGACATGACAACATCAGAATCTTTACTACTTGTAGGTATTTTTCCCATAAGTGTCCATCCAATAAGAGTTTCTGTAGCTACTAATCCACAATCTAGTTTATGACGACCCCCTGTATACAAATAACCAGCGACATATGCTCCCAGCAACAGTTCAATTGGTCCAGGTTGGAGATCATCAGATAAATCAATATTAAGGTTCTTGGTTTGTTCCTTCCATGGACCATGAAGTACTGGAGCAACATCACTACAAATTGTTAGTTGATCTAAGGCCTCAAAACAATATGTAGAGTTCTTAGCTTGTAGTTTGATTTTGATTTTATACAGAATTACAGTTACAGTTACTTAAAAATTATATGTATATTGACAAACTTGTAATATCAACAACATGACATTAATTGCCTACTTCATAGTCTCTTATTTCTTTCTTTTTTCACCACTACGCCTTTTATCCAACAAATTGTTCCAGGTAAAGGCAATCTCTGACAATGATAGAAGAACTCAAAGGGAATATTTTAAGCTTGAGAAAATGTTTATTTTTGGCCAAAATATCGATATTTTAATACACCACTATGAGCGCAAAATCGACTCACAGCGAAAAGGAATGCAGGCAAACAGCTCGATACAAATTATAATTGATATATACGTTATATACATTTTTAAAGTTCCTAATACAATTCTCTTGTATAATTCTTATAATTAAATTATCATAAAGTAGTTCCCTTTCTTTCTATTTACTTTTCACTTAAATTTTTCTTAAAGATTCTGAATAACTTGGAAAATGTGAAGTTTTAAAGAAGTAGGCTTTTGTTTATATGACCATGGAGGTGTTTCGCTTGTTGAAGATAAGTATGTCACCAACGTCTAAAAATCCAATTGAATATAAAACGAGCATTTTATGTGGTGTACACACAATTGATGTTGTACACGAGCATTTTATGTGGTGTACACGATCCACTTTTATATGGATACCACATAGATAATGATCTGAAGCCTCCAAAAGTTTTAATTTTAATGTCTTCAAGCACAGACTTAATACCATCATGTAAATGTAAAAATTTGCTCTAAAAACTTATGTAAATGTGAAAAAGCTAGGATTTCCTGTATATTTCGACGTAGATGCATGGAAGAAAATGTTATACATAAAATCTTTTTCTTCTGCTTCCTGCTTGTATGTAGGCTTTAAAGCCAGTTTCTTCTTTAATATTAGCGTCCTAAATGGTTTAAATTATCGCACCATCTTTTTCTTGGTCTGCCAATACTTCTTCGTCCATTTGGTGACTTATCTTGTGCTATTCGTATCGTCTGCCATTCTACTGATATATTCGTTCACTCCTGTATCCGTTTTGTCACCCATCCATTTATGTCTTGTATCTAAACCTTGCTTCCTGCTTTATTATTTTCTATCAATTTCGATTTTACATCGTAGTGGGTATTTAGATGTTGT